TTCTCCAACATTTGTTATTACTTGCCTTATTGATAACAGCCATTTTAACAGGTGTGAGATGGTATCTCAAATACACTAAAGTTGCAAGATACAAAATCAATGTATAAATATCCATTGCATTCCTATATACTAACAGTGAAATTTCAGAAAAAGAATTGAAAAAAAATTTCTTTTACAATTGCAACAAAAACAATAAAATACCTAGGAATAAACTTAACAAAGGAAGTGAAGGACCTATACACTGAAAACAAGACATTATTAAAAGAAGAAGAAGACACAAAGAAATGGAAAGATATTTTGTGTTCATGAATTATAAGAATCAATGTAGTTAAAAATGGCCAGAGCAATATACAGATTTAATACATTCTCCGTCAAAATCCCAATAGCTTTTTAGAGAAACAGAACAAAACATTATCAGATTTTTCTGGAATAACAAAAGACTGAATATCAAAGCAATCCTGAGAAGAAGAAGGCCAGAGGTATCACAATCTTTCAAATTATACTACAAAGTGACAATTATTAAAATAGTATGAGACTTCATCAAACTAAAAAGCTTCTGTACAGCAAAAGAGGCCATAAACAAAACAAAGAGGCAATCAACTGAGTGAGAGAAGGTATTTGCAAACAGCACCTCTGATAAAGGGGCTAATATCCAAAATGTGCAAAGAAATCATACAGCTCAAAAACAAAAAAACAATCAAATTAAAAAATGGACAGAGGACTTGAACAGACACTTCTCCCAAGAAGACATGCAAATGGCCAACAGATATATGAAAAGATACTCAACTTTACTAGCTATTATTAGGAAAATGCAAAACCAGTATCAGTTTGAATGGCTGAAATTGGTTTCATTTTATGGATGTGCTATAATGAATCAAAATTCTCTTTGCTGAGCATTTAAAATTCCCCCCATTACAAATAATATTAGAATGCACAGACACACATATACATCTTGTCCTTATTGTCCTTATTAGCATTTGAGAGAGAAATGGTTGTTTGTATCTTATACTTAATAATGGCTATTTTAATACAAATTCCACATACGAAAGATGAATACTTTTAATTCTTACCAATGTGATAAAGAATACCACTAAAATAAGAAATATCACATGATAAAAATACCAATCTTCCTTTCAGAATGGAGAATACACACACACCCACACACAAACACACACACACACATATATGCAGAAAATAACAAACATTGAGGAGAACATGCTAAAATTAGAATCCTTGTGCATTGCTTGTGGGAATGTAAAATGGTACGATTGTTATGGAAGACAGTCTGGTGTTTCCTCACATAATCAATCATAACATTTCCATATAATCCTGCGATTTTATTTCTGTATGTATTCCCAAAAGAATTGAAATCAGAATCTCAAAGAGATATCTATGCTCTCATAGTTTTTGCAGCCTTATTCACAATAGCCACAACAATCTAAATGTGCATTGATAGATGAATGGATAAAGAAAATGTGGTGTACACATATGATGTAATAGTATTTGGCCTTAAAAAGAGAGATTTTGACACGTGCTGCCATATCAATGAAACTTGAAGACATTATGCTACTTTTAAGAAGCTGGTAACAAAAATGACAAATATTTTGTAATTTTACTTATATGAAGTACCTAGATTAGTCAATATCATAAAAATAGAAAGTAGGCTGGTGGGTGCCACAGCTGGGGAGAGGAGATTCGCTGTACTACATTGTGCCTGTAGTTGACAGAACTGTATTGTGCACTTAAAAATTTGTTAAGAGGGTAGACTTCATACTAAGTGTTTCTAAAGGAAAGAGGCCCTTTCACTTTCTCCTCTGAAAAGGTCTACCAATAGTTACATTAAAAGGAAGAGGGAGGAAGCACATTGGGGACCCAGGCTGTATGCCCTTAAGCAGCCCCAGGATTTATCTGGGCAACCTCAAGGTATAAGCAGGGGATGTCAGATGCCTGAAGATTTACAGCAAAGGTAATTTCTGACTAGATGCTTGCAGAGAGTGCCATGTGAAGCCATATCAGGAGATAGAGAATAGGCCGATATCTAAGGAAAAACCTGTGATTAGTTTAATATAAGGTTTGGTTTTCAGAAAACATTCTATGATAACTGGGAGAGCAGTACTGTTTTCTCAACTCAGAGGGACATACATACCATGAAACTTGCTGTGGGGTTTGGTGTTATATGTGCTACCATACAGTGCTCCTAGTTTTTAGCATGCATGCTTTGTTTGGAATTTATGCATTATTGTAGAAGCCAAAACCAGGACAGAAACAAATAGGTAGGCAGCATGGTGTATGGAAAGGTAATGGATATAGGATATAGATCTAAATTTATGCTGATTCACCAAGTCCTCTGTCTGTATTTCACTTTTTTCCTATTATAAGTCTGAAAGTTGGACTATATCAGGGATACAAATAAATCTCATCACACTCTTATGTCAACTCTTATGGTGTTGGCACTTCGTTGAGAAGGATACTGAAGTCATTTCCTCACTCTTCAAGAAATTATTGTATAACTTACTTGTAATTGTGTAACACAGCCATAGAGAAAGGAGGTTAGTGGCTTGTCTCCTTTATTTGCCCTCTAGATGAAAAATTCTGTCAATATAAACACTTTGTTTCTCTGATGCTAGAGACTAGAACAGTTTTTAACCTCTCTTCATCATTTTAAATGATACCCCACATCAATCTTCTACAAAAATATAGAATTATAGACTATTTTTAGATATCAAAACTCAAAGCATGTATAAAGTGCAGGGCCTAGTCATTCAATTTACTAAGATTTTCAATTCCTTCCACTGTATGTTCTGGTAAATGAACTCTGACGTACATAAATAAACTACAGCATGTGGAATCACACACACACACAAATACTTTAAATGAATAGGTTCTGAACATGAAGTTTACATATTTAATATAACAGTAATAAAATCTTGAGAATGTTTTGAAAGCACAAATCTTAGAACTTTGTATATTTTTTAGTACTTCCTCCCATAGTTAAAATATGTATTCAGATTATCTGTTGCCTTATAAATATTGGCTAATTAACACTACATCCTAATTTTTTAAAATTAGAACGTTTTATATAATTGCACATAGTACCATAATACATTAGTATCATATAATTATACAACTTTACTGTTTTGTCAATATTTGAAATATTAAAACCTTATAATATTGTTTCTCGCATTATAATATTATAATTGTAGAAGTTTTTTTTAGTAATTAGCCTTTGTATCAAACCTACTATTTTCTTCATTTCTATTAATTTCCACATTACCTTTATTTTCTTTGATTTTCACATATTGAATTTTTTAATTTTTAATTTTCAGGGTTCTGAATTTCACCTTAAATTTCTATATTTTCATTTATACTAATTAAATAGAGTGAACTACTTAGAATGACTGCAAAGCAAAGACAAGTGATTTGTCTTCGAACTTCCCTTGTCTGAGTAGCAATAAAATGTGTTCTCTAATTTTATGTTAAATAGGCATGTAAAAATCCTGTATTGATTTTCATTGACTGAATTTTTATAATTTCTCACTTGTCTATTTTCTGATAATATGATATACTAAAAAAAGGCGACTGCACGTAGTGTAAGAGCAGTCATTCCTAATAACCCTGTTTATAGCACCCAGCAGCTGCAGCCTCACGTTTCCATTTTATTGTTTAACAGGAGGTGTGTAAATTGGAAAGATATAAATATTTCTGATGTAGCACAGTTGGTGCGAAAGTAACTTGACAGCTTGAAATAACCCATTTTCACATTGGAAGATAATTATTTATCAGCTATCTTTTCCCTATACAGATTCTGAATATCTGATTCGATAGAGTAAGGGAATAAAAGGATAGAGGAGACAAAGCCCATTGCTAGACATGATTGATTATAAAGTACAGTTTTTTAAGCCTTGAAGTTAGGTTCCATTCCATTTATTAATTGCAGAAGTTTTTTTGTTTTTGTTTTTGTTTTAGTAATTAGCTTTTGTAGGTTGCTGTGCATTTTATTTTAAATCATTAGTGTTTACGTAGGATTTACATAGGTTATCTAGAGCTTACTATTTATCTTTTGAAAGTAAAGACCAATACTTATTTAAAGTCACACATCGCAATCTCTTTATTTTTGACATGTATGAAATAGATGACTCTATGGACCTGGGAAAATTACAAAAAAGAAAAAAAGTAAAGAATACAGAGAAATATGTTTCGATGTAGGAAAAAAAGAAATTTTAAAAAAGCTATAAATGACTGTGAACTCTTTTTCTTTTTAAATTAAATTTATTGGGGTAACATTGGTTAATAAAATTATATAGGTTTTGAGTATATAATTCAATAGTCTGTCATATGAATGTTATATTGTGTGTTCCCCACCCAAAGTTAAATTTCCTTTTGTCACCATTTATTTGACTCCCTTTATTTACCCTTACTT